TAAATGCAGTAGCATCCTAGTAATATGTATAATTTTTATTTTTTATCGTTGTAGAAATTAAAGTTCTATGTTTCATCTTGAATGAAGTAGAATTTTAAAAAAAATATGATTGTCACATACTTTTCAGTACTGTTTGGTCGTCCAGCTTTAATATGATAAAATCAACATTGTACATTTTTCTTATAAGACAAAACATTCTAGTATGAAGGTATTTCTTCAATTTTTCAGTTGAGTATATAACCACTTTAGTAAATAGTTGTTTACGCGAATGCACAACATTTTTACATCATTCAAACCCCTATAAGGATTAACATACTATTAGATTACAAAAGTCGATAAAGTTTGCCAACCATAATTATTTATATTAACCTCACTTTAAAAACATATACTGGAAAAATAAGTTAAAAAGGTCACTATGTAAATGGGAAGTTATTTAATCTATAAATCTTAATGATAGTATAAAGATTAAAGCCAAATATATTTCGTTAACTAAATGACTATTTTTTTTACAGGAAGTAGATTGAAAGAAAGTAAGAGACCGAAGCAAAGAAAAAAAAGAATGGATAGAAGAGTAAAACTCTTAAATGAAGTCATTTAATACACTTGAAAAATGAATTAATAATTTAATGGAACACTAAATGATACAATATAACCCAAAAATTAATCTATAAACAATCATTCACTATTTGTTTATCTTTTATAATCTCGTTAATTTAATTCATAATTTATAGAATGGGAATATGTTGTAGCTTGAAGACAGGAAAAAGCAGGCCATCTATTAAATCATTTGCATATTATCTGGCGTATTCAATATGATTGAAGAGTTTCTTTGTTTTATTTGAACAGGTTTAAACTTGCTTGTAACATAATACTATATATATATATCGTTTAAAAAATGTACTGCCGACTACTGATAGTAGTAGAACTCTCACTTTTAAAAATATTTTACCTGTTGATCACTTTTAACAACTGTTCAACACAAACATCTTGATTATTTATTTTAGTATCGTTATTACGAGCATGAATTATTTACTGATCTTAATGAGCTCTGTTATCCATTCACTCTAGCTCATATTTGTTTATATCTGAACTAGTAGGTACATACTACTAAGTTAACTAGGCTTATATATATATATATATATATATATATATATATATATATATATATATATATATATATATATATATATATATATATATTCAATTCAGTTCCCAATTTATCTGATCTTCAAATTTCATATAAACTTAGTGTGATAACCAAAAATTAATATGAGAATTTTCTCACTAGTTGTTTTCCTCTTTGGTATTAACTAATGGTTGTTGTTTACATCTTAAATTGTTGTTTATCTTTTTTGCAACGGATTATTTCTCTTATTTTCAGTTTTATGTGTACATGTACGCATTCATTTTTGTTTGTGTGTATAGTTGTATGAATATGTATATGTTTTTATGTTGTGTTTGTAAAGATCTAGTTGTTTACCTATTTCCCTCCTAAATTCAGGACGATAAAACGTGTCTAATTTATAATATAGAATTCTATCGGATTATATTAGAACTAACATTCTTTGTTCAATATGTTTGGAAGTAGTAGTAATTGGTACAGTTTACCGGACAGTATCACGTTCAGTTTCTATCATAAATTCTAAAGTTTCTAAGTGTTCACTTTTAAGATAGTGATTTACAAAACAAAGAATAGATTTCTGACTCAAGTTTAACATGAAGAATATTACTACTGTAAACGGACAAATCGTCCATAAGTGGTATATTTTCATTATCATAAATAACTACATTGTTTAATTTACTGTAAATATATGCATAGAAAATGTCTCTTTCTGAAGTGGGATAATTAGACAATCCATAGATCGGTAAGCTAAAAATTGAATCAAAGACGTTTCCTATTGTATAGTTAAGGGATTGGACGTTTCATATATCAACTCATTCGTTGCCACGTCATAATAATATCGTAAGTTTCAGTAAGTATATATGCCAAAAAGAAAATTATGTATTGCAAAGCATTAACTTGTCTACCTGTAACCAGTTTCTAATCATAATGGTAACTGATTGTTTTCAGTATTTTTCGGTATTGATTTCAGAACATACTGAAAACGTAAATATTGCTTAGATTTCATTGTTTTTAAAAAGTGTTTACATGACCTATTAACCCTTAAAAGACTGTTACTTCAATTATGACTGTTAACTTGTGAAGTCAAACAAAAATAAGGTGGTTTCTGATTCAGTTGATGACATTTAAAACTGTGGAAAATGTATAAATTAGGCTAGAGGGAGAAGATGGATATTCATTCAACTTAAAAATTGAAGATTATCATCAGATGGTGATTTATTGAATATCAGAGAGTGAATCTTAATAATTGTTTTATCCTAGTAATTAAGGATTGAACAACCACATGGGGGGAGTATTGACTCAAGAATCTAGATTGTATCATTGGCATACCAAGTCATAGTCTGACGGTTCACGCCCACAAATGCCGTAGTACGGCTGAGGGTGGGGAGAGTCCCTCTTGAAATATTCTGATATGGCCAAGTGTATAGAGTCACTGTCAGGGAAGTCCTATTCACTGCCTTCTTGTCAGTATCACAGCCCACACACAAACTGCTACTGACCTCATTGTTATTGTGTGGCGCATATGTATTTGTTGTCCTCTTGTATCAATGTTTTTGTGTGTTCAAATAAATAAACTTACTGTTCACAGTATCCGGCTTTTTGTAATTTTGCACTACAGAGGAAATATTATTTAATAGAAAGGCGTCTTGTAGCAATAACTTTTGTTTATCAAACAAGAAAATATCATTTCAAAATATGTTCTCCATAAAAAGACCTAAAAGTAAACTTTACTTTGAGAAACCAATCACAAACGGCTGATTTATTTAAATATCTCATGATTGATATCATCATTTCTAAACCAAAAGGTATATATATATATATATAAAGAAAATTAATTTGATGGACATTGTATAAAACAATTTTTTATTTATTTAAGAGTTTGCATATGACTAATGCATTTAAAGTGTATATTAATAATCTATTCGTTATTTGTAAATCCTGATAATAACACTGAATAAAGGACAATTATTAATGTCCAATAATAAGTACATACCTGGATCATATTATTATATAAAAAATATTTCAAATCTCATATGAGATCAGTTTCTAATTTATAATAAATATAGTATTTACAAACATTGATTTAACCATATACGAGCACGTATATTGTGTAATGATAATAATAATAATAATAATAATAATAATATAGAGTGAATTGTTTAATTGGATTTTGAACAAGTTTTACACATTTTTGTATTTATTGTTATTATGTTTAGCAAATGTTAGAATATTATTTTTAATAATGCATGATTATTGGGAATGTTTCATAAGTATCTAATGTTTTTGTGCAGTTTAATATAGATCTATTCAATGTACTTTATTGATGGAATCATAATTTGACTAATAGTAAATACTTCAGGTTAGACGCAGGGTATTAGGGAACGATGGTAAATCAGTTGATAAGGTTGTGAATCTTCATCGACTGAGATGGTTGGGCCATGTGTTACGTATGCCTGAACACCGATCACCACGACGTGCAATGCCAACCGGTGTTGGAGTTGGTTGGTAGAAAGTTAGGGGCGGCCAAACCAAAACGTGGCATCAGTGCTTGAAGTCACTGACTTCTAGTCTGAGTCATGTTGGTAGATGAAGACTACTTGGTTGGGGTCTGGGTGACTATCGTAACTAGTAGTTGAAGATTCTGGGTGACATTGCTCAGAATCGATCACAGTGGAGTAGGTGTATACACTCTCTGTCTTCCCTTAAACTAAGAGATTAAATTCGCTTCATATCATTCTTTCTACGAACTAATTCTTTCTTCGTGTACTATATCCTTATATGCTATCTTTCTTTTAGATATTACTACCATTGAATTAACTACTTCTATGTATTTGGTGTTCATCTTGTTGTGTTAATGAGGTATGGCAACTTGGACCGATGCACATATGTGCCTGGTCCTACGTTGTAGCTGACTGACTGAAATACTTCAGAAGTTTTATAACATATAAATTTTTCTACTAAGTGTTGTAAGCTTTACAACCTACAATTCAAGATATCAATGCATTGAATTATTATCCTACTGAGCGATGATCTTAGATTAGAAGTGAACGGTTGGTGTGTTGAGTTCCCAACTGGTACATCTATCGTGTTGATTTACAGATGGATCCAGTGAGTAAATAATCTGTTTTCAATCAAACAATCATCTCAGAAATACTAATTTTGAGTAAAGATTAAAAAATGCTACTCATTGGGTTATTAATAAATTTTGGTAATTTAACCGTCAAACATTAGTCTCTTATCTGTCATTGGATTATCGATCTGTATTATAAAATTAATACAGCTGATATCTGAGATGTTGGAATTTTATTTTGACGATTTCATATCACAATTCTTATGGAAGTTTTCAAGCATATGGTTTATATAATGGACCACTCTCCTCACCTTTCAAATCATATTCTCAACATAGATAACAAAAATAGTAGAATACCGTATTCCGTTGGTGGTCAGATTAAGTATATATGTTATTTGTTCGTTGCTTATCTAGGAACTGTTTACTGCTGGTTTTAAATTATGTTTTCTTCACTCTGCTTATAAGTTTGCCATCGGTACTTTTGAGTTTAATAATTGATTAGGTCCTGTTTATCATAGACACCATGTTGTAAATAAATTGAACCAATTAGTATAGTTATATGATCCTCAATGAGACATTATTATCCCATCATCAAAGTAGATCTTAGTTTCTAAAATCGACTATTATTTTTATAGAAAAACATGTCTTTAGTAATTACCAAACACTAAGTTTCCCATGATTTTCACATTGACCAAATTGAGTGACATTTTACACTAGCTGTGCCGTCTCTAGCTAATTTATTTTGATTGCTAGTAGATAACGAACTTAAAAAAGCGTCTTAATTTTCATGTATTTCACACATTTTAGCCGTATGAATTTGACAGTTTGGAAAATATTCTACCACTTCAACGCCAACAAAATCATCATCTTGATTCCACATGTCGACGCTCAGATTACTCTAGTGAGAATATTAGCAGTGTCAGTGGTTCCAATTATGATAAGAATGAATTTATAGCTCATGAAAATAATGCTGAAGAACAACACCCTACAGAAACTTTAACACCAACACGTATATTTAAAGTGATTTTAGTCGGGGATTCAGGTGTTGGCAAATCTAGTTTCTCATATCGATTTTGTGATGGAATATTTTATCCACAACTTAGAGCTACTTTAGGTAAGTTGAATAAATAGTTTTAACAATTTCAAGGAGAAATAAGTAACTTTTTCGTTATCAACATTTACCGTTCCTATATTTCATTAAAAATAACTATTCTGAGTTTTTCAATGATTATGATTCAGAAGGGGGTTTCGTGGAGATTTTAAAAATTTTCACTGATTGAAATCATGAGTCAAATGAAGCGCCTGGCGCGAGACTGATAGGTCCTGGGTTTGAATCTCGCGGGGTGCGGGACCGTGAATGCGCACTGCTGAGGAGTCTCATACTAGGATGAAACGGCGGTCCAGTACTTCTAGATTATGATTCAGTTAGTGAAACGTACTTCCAAGATGAAATTTGAAGAATAAATTGTAGAAAGCAGTTAATCTTATCTAGAAGTTATTTACGAATGAACCATGTAAATTTGTTATGATGGGATAAAAAGTCAAAATTAGATGGATTTACTCATTATGATTTCTATTCAACATTAATCCCATTTAATTCAATTTGTTGATGACTCAGGATAATATTTGTTTCGTTTTCTCCTATGACATTTAATTCTGTATATTCTTGTATGAAGTATGTTTCATATTATATGTGATTTATTCTGATTATTAAGCCAAAATGAGTGTACAAACCAATATATAAATGAATGTATTTCCGACTTGTCGTGTTTGTTCGTGCTTCTGGCTGCTTGCTGTATATATTTCCCCGTTGCGAACTTGGACTTCTCTCTCTAGTTAGCGGGGTTGGGACGCATCAGAATAGCTAGGTTATTGGTCTTTGGTCACAGAGTCTTTGTTCCGTTGGCATACGAGGTGACCTTGTAATATCTTCAAACATAGCAGAATCATCTGTGGAAAAAATATAATTGTTAATTTTTCTTACCATCAGAACTAATTCATCAAAGCTTTTTACAGAGAATAAATCAAATTATAACTTAAGTATAGTCGATAAAAGCTTATATTAAGGGAGTGTTTTTTGCAAAACTATCATTTTCTATCCATTCATCAAGCTTTTGTTGACCTTATTCACGAGGCTCGTTTTCTTTCGATAAGAACAAATAAGTGGTTGTTTATCCATTAGATATTTACATGAACCCCGACCAGATAGTCTGAACTTATTGACATAGCTCAATTCAATAGTTAACAACTTCATGGACTGATGCCATGTTTTGGTTTGGCGGCTCCTAGCTTTCTTGTAGCCTACTCTTATGTCAGACAACATCACTCGTCGAGATAGGCGGTGGTTGGGCGTATGTAAGAAATGTCTCACCACCTCAACTGACGATGATTTATTACCTTATCAGTGGATTTGGTGAGTGCACTGGACACTTGAGAAAGATATTATTTCTTAATCTTAAATATTTATTAGTAATGCATATTTTCAAAGACATATAAAATAATACAAAACAACTGATCTGTTCTTGATAGATTTTAAGTGCTTTACATCTTAGATTAGTATTTTCAGTATTTTCGTCAGCCGTAGACAAATTACAACTAGTCAATCACTTGGTAATGATTACTGTCATATTTGTTTGGTTTTTTGATGCCGATCGAATATCTGTCGATCAAGTTGTAATGTAGATACAAGTCTAAGTGACTCGATATCATATCCATTATATTGAAATGTTAGATGTTCCTGATGGGTGTTAAATAGCACGAAACCTAGATCCATTGTTTCCTATCGACTATCTTCAATAATCTACACATGGATCAACTAATTTATCAAATAACATTTGTATCATCTTTTTTTCAAATTACTATATAGTTTAGATTGTATAGCAGAAAGCTATAATCTAGTGATAATATCAAAATTTATGTTTAGAAGTTATTTTGTTTCAATCAGTTGTTTATCGTTCTTTTTCTATGAAAGGAGTTGATTTTCGAACAAAAAATATTAAAATGAATAATTCAGTGTACACTATTCAATTATGGGATACTGCTGGACAAGAGACGTAAGTTGTAAACTATTAAGAAGAAGTAAAAAAAAGTAATTCATTTATGTAGTTATATTTATTAGTTGAAACAGTTGATCTATTGATGTTGTAAATTAAATACACATATCCGGTTGTTGTTTAATCGATTTCAACTCCTACCTATTTTAATGTATTCAAACGTGACTATTAACCTGTTAGGTAAACAACATATATAACATCATTTTCAATGTCTTTTTAATCAGTTAGAGATTAATGATGAAATTCATGGTTGGTAAATAAATGAATCTTCATTTGCATTCAAGATTATTTTTGTTAGGATGAGGATTAACTAGACAGTTATAGTGAAAAGTTCCACTGGATTAATGGAAAATACTAAAAAATTCTCATCATTTAGGTATTAAAATTTTATTCAAGCAAAAGGTTTTTCACTACATTCTCAATGTTCTGATAGATATACTAACTGATCTGAGATTATTGGAGATGACTATTCCGATAGCTTATTAGTTTTACTTGTCATCTTCAGTATATGTATATTTACAAAAAGATTTATTTTTTTTAGGTACAAACGGTTACAACTATTTTCTGTCACTGATACTTATTCACTATGACAGACTTTCATGGTTTATCTACTTTCGGTGATTTATTGTCAAAATAAAATAAAATTTCACTTCATTTTTCTTCATATATCAAAATGTCCTTTTTGAAAGACTTGTTAATCTGTTGTTTAAACAAATGACAGCTCATCAAAAGAATAATTTAACGATGGTCAATCTAAAAAAGATGGTATTATTAGCTCATTATTTAGTGCCGGTTTGTTAACTACTCTTTGATTACAATGCTAATAGTTCTTAATTGAGAACAATAATAAAATTATATCAATTATTTTTTTACATAATTATTTTCAATGTTAATTATCCAAACATAAATTATTCGCTTATGATATCGTATAGCGATCGAGTGAACAATGTTGTGGTTGGGCATATGGTACTTGGCAAGGTTTGCAAATCAGTTGATGAGGTAAATCCTCACTGACTGAGATGGGTAGGACATGTGTTATGTATACTGAACTATCATCTAACTTCACGAGTGTTATTTATTGATGTCGAAATGGTTTGGAAGAAGGCCAGTGGCTCTTAAACCAAAATGTGACGTCAATCCATGAAATCACTGAGTGTAGGCCTGAAGTATGTTGGTAGATATAAACTATCAGGTTGGGGTTTGCGCAATAATTGTGATCAGTGGTTGCAGGTGTTAGAATGACATGTCTCAGAATCATTAACAATTGTGCAGGTGCGTTCAAACCATGTTTCTGATGTTCCGTCTTTCTGTTTGAAAACGGGTAGGAATTATATTCGACGTGCATTTTCCAGTCATACACCTACCTTTGACTGTGTTCAAAGATTAGAATTATTATGTTTTTTTGACAATGTTAATATCAAAATGTGGATAACCAACTTGCTGAAAGAGAGTATTATACTGTGCTTGGTAGAATGTGTCCTACTGCTTTATTAACTCAAGCTGATGCGCAAAAAGGAGCTGTGTTTTCCATTTCCATCCTCTTTTTTTCTGAATGGTCTACCATCAGAAACGCTTTGTTTAAGTATGCGGATGACATTACTGTATGTACGTCAGTTTCTTCCTTTTCAAATGTACTCGTAATGCATCAGTTTTTTACACTCATTGAACGAAGGTCTGTGTTTATTGATCTTGGATCTAATACATCCGAATTCTGAACCACTAACTTTAGCCTAATGCATAGAAAACACTTAAACACCATGTTAGAATCACATAAAATTTGTGTTATTAGGGGATCTCTAAAAAAACTGTTAAACATTATTTGTTTTGGTATAAGTATTTTTTGGTCTATCTTGGTCTTATCATGCCTAGTTAATACCATTGGAATTTTTTCGCTTAACTTACTATATGCTCCTGGAATTACCAAACATTTACTCCCACGATCCATAAATTCCTGTATATTAGCTATTATTCCCTTCTGGGCTTTTGAGAGAAGGTTTTGTTGTGTTGCGGAGAATTCTAAGGGGAGTTTGTAAGGTAGGGGGTAAATCTTTTGATATAATGATGAATTTGGTTGCTGACAGATATTCGAGATCCTGAAAACTACTGAAAAGTATTATTTTATAAGATATTAATCATCTACTACATACAAATCTTTTTCCTTGTATGTCTTTTAGTAAAACGAGATGTGGATACCTTAGAGTCTATAATTAAAAAGAAAAGTATGGAAGCTCTACAGTACCGTATCTAGCGCATCCACTGTAAGACTAGCAGATTGTGTGAATTAGTCTGATCAGAGACTTGTATTCACAGTTGTATAAAATTTCATTTTTTTTTAATATTTCATTTTTACATAACTTCTCTACTTATTTCACGTCTATACGTGAAAATATTTTTTATATGAGAAGTGTAAGAGAAACTTGCGAAAATATTTTATGTTGAGAGTTTCATCGTATATTCGGCATATAATATTGAATAAAGCCATTATTAATTGGTACTGCATCATCTCGATTCCTTTGGTATTTATGTTGTTAGTCTCATTTTATCTTTGTATTGTCGGATAAAAATCTAGGCTAATTCATATTTATGTCAGGCTCTATACTGTTTATAACTGAAACTTATATATCTTTGACTTTATGAGCAGTTTCTCTATCAGAATACACTTGTGTTTAACAATTTATTAATTATTTGCTGACCAGTTTGATAATGTCTAAGAAAATATGAAAAAAAGCGTCTACTTTATCATTTAGTCAATGGTGAGTGCATAAATAAATTTTATTCTTGATACGTTTCTTTTTATTAGGTATCGTTGTATTGTCCGTTCATATTTCCGCAAAATTGACGGTGTAATTTTAATGTATGCAGTTGATCAACCTGATACATTTGCAAATATCAAATATTGGATGGAAATGATAAAAGTAGGTGGATTTTATCACATTTCTGATTAAAGATTAGTGCTGTCAGAGAATTAGGTAAATACTGCTGATTTTTGTGAAGATCGGATTTTTCAGCATAGAGATCTATTTTTCTACAAATATTTACCAGTCGGTCAGTAACTGTCACATGGATTGTTTGAAAAATGTCAGTATGTGTAACTGGATTATTAGATAGCTAACTTTTTGACATCAGCATACAGGATTTGTGAATATTGTTCATTATTATCCAGGTCACCACTGAAAACCAGAGTGAGCTAGATAACTGCTTTGTCCTGGCATATGACTCCTCAATAGTGCTTATTCAAAACCTTACCGGAGATCGAACCCAAGACCTTCAGATCTCAAAACAAAGGCAACTCAGTGAACATTCAAAGGTTTTCAGTATCGATTGTAATTATAACTAAAAGTGTGTTAAAATACTGGCTTTTCTGGTCTTATAAATTAGATGGTCTAATGACGGAAAGTTTTGTTCCCAAAGTAGATGTCATGTTAGAAAGACAATTATTTCTCATTGCTTATTATTTATGATTTAATTAACAGATGAAGGTCTATCCATCCTAGATTATAGGAAGTTTGTTCTTTTATTGCACAATTCATGTGCATAAGAGTTCTCGTTTGTTTCATATTTTTGGTATATCATATATGATATTACACTGTTCTACCACCAGCTAGAGGTTAGTAAACCAATAAATGACACATTATTTCATACATGAACTGTTTAATCACTGACATTATTTCAAGCTTTACATTTTAAATAGCATGTGCCGTTATTACTTCTTTCCCACGAAGTCTCTAGCGATTTATTTTAATCACAAATGAAGAATACTAAGATGGAATGTGGCTAGCAGTGGAATCCAGGACGCTCATTTCGTCCTATTTGGTACTTGTCAGCTTCACATACCTGAATGCCACAGTTGATCTTCACTCCGGAACTAGAACCCAGGCTGGTCAAATTTAGCCGAAATATCAACACTGCGATAATCAAAGTCATTTCAAATTGAATTAGAGGATAAAAATATATCTTTGCTGATAGGTTAACTAGTTATTTAACAAGTGATATCATTCGGAATCACCAAAATTTTTAAAAACACCGTATATTTCATCTTATAGACTTTCATGTGGATTTGAGACTTACTACTCGACAATCAATTTTTATGCTAATAAGTTCTTGTAGAAAATTTTTATGGATGTTTATATTAGATACAATACTACCTAAATATTCTTATCAGTGTATACTGGATCTAGGAATAATCATGTTGGAAAGAAATCAAGATTTGAATCTAAACATGAACTATTATTCACTAACTTGAATCAATGATTTCAAAATCAGTAACCATTTATGATTGTAATAACCATCTAAGTAAATCCAATTTAAACACTAGCTGGTTAAATATTTCATCTTTTTGGAGTGAATCACGAACCTGGATATGCTCAATGATCAAGGATAAGTGAAGATTACATTTCAGTCTACAAAACGCAAATAATCTTCAACAGATTATATTGCACAGTAAAATTAAGTATCATATATATATAGTTCGTGTAATCCAAACTATTTTGTTATTGAAACTTTCTGACTGCGTCTACTGAAGCATATGATGTGGTAAATTAACTATTCCACACGTAGTGATATTAGTTGTGGTTGAATACCATATTAATAATCATTGCGAAAAAAATGGAATCATATGACTAAAGTCATATGTACGTGTAACTTTACAAAAATTCGATAAACAATCTCCATTAAATTTATTACTGACAACTTTTTTTCAAAAACCTCTTCTCGTTTGATAAAAAGGAATCGACAAGTGAAGAAAATGTTCCAATTCTTCTAGTTGGTAATAAAGTTGATTTACGCAATACTAGTAGTAACAATACTAAAGAAAGTTATAATAATAATGATGATATGAAAAAAGATGAATTGCACAAGTACATCACATATGAAATGGGTGCCAATGTAGCTAAAGTAAGTAAGAAGTGTTTCATTCTGCATAACATAATTAGTTTATTCAAAAATCATTGTAAATTAATCGTCTACCTGTTACTCCCTTAAACTGTTTATTCTGGTTAGCGTCTTATAGAGAGCTTGTTTTCTACGCGATGAGATTGCAGACTCCATGCCCAACTCTCCTGCTTTACCCAAGTTTGCGACCGGCAGTAACCCTAGAAGAGCTACCTCTTAATATGTAATAATAGTCGATAAACCGTATTGATGTATCGCCCTTCATGTAATGGTATATATCTCCATTAAGACAGATTATGTATTGACTTAAAATGATTTATATATGTGGTTTCTAGCAGAGAAACATTCGATTATCAAAGTTGTTGACATATATTTGTCAGTACTACTTGTTTATATTCAATTTATTGTATTTTTGGATTTTTACTAAAATTCTTTTGAAACCTAAGGTGTAAAACTGTTACTACTCCCTTCTTAAATGCCCCTAAAAATATTCGATCAAAAAAACGCCTATTGGTTATAATAAGAGATTAGTGTAATACATTTTTATCATACATCCATATCAACATTGCCGAAAAGACTGCCGAAAAGACTGCCGTAAAGTTTCTTCCAATCTATTCATAAGAACTAGATACCAAAAGTGTTTTATCTTTTAATTAAATGATCAAACTATACTGATTAATTAAAGAATTTTAATATATATTGTAGAATGTGAATTTGTATTAAATATTTATCATTTTTTCTGATAACCGCATACGGAAAAATATTGATTGTGTTAAACATTTTTGCCTCATTCTTTTTCAGTTACATCACGTTTCATTCATTGAAACAAGTGTATTAAGCAAGCATAATATCACAGAAGCTGTTGAACTACTTACGGAGTAAGTTAAATTTAAGAAATATATATGTAATTTATTGTAAAAATGAGCTCTTAATTAAGAATTGTGACTGATTACTGACATTTGAGTTGCGACACTTGAATGCCGATAGTTTAGGAATTCAACTTTAAACAATTCTAAGTTTGTCAAATAACATAAAATATCATCCTTTCAACTGTGTGAATGACGTATTGAATTCAGTGAATAATTTAACTGTTCTCTTGAGGAAAGCAAGAGATTAAATAACTGTTGTTTTTATTCTTCAGAAATAAATGTAAATGAACCAAAAAAATGTTTTCTTCTCAGTAATATCTAATGTCTTTTTTCTACAGTATAACAACTGATAATAAAGCCAATATCAGTCAAATGGTTTTTAATTAGTAGTATTTGTAAATTACAAATAACATATGAAAATAAAAATAACCTAACAAGAATGTTTCTTGAGAATTTGAACGGTTAGACTAGTTTTTTATTCGGATATTGATTGAAGTAATAAATCGAGTGTTAAACGATTTCACAGTGTCCGTGTTCTATAAAATACGAAAACAATAATATATAACACAACGATTTTTAAGGAGAAACTCGGCCTGGAGTCCCTCCGGGGGCTACTGCCGGTCTCAAGCCTGGATAAAGGAGGAGGGTTGAACATGGGGTTAGCGACCCTATCCTGTAGAAAACCAACTCGCTAAAAAACGCTAACCAGGAAAAATTATTCAAACCTTTTAAACTCTGCCCCGGGGGTCAGAAGATCTTCATTTAGAAGAATTATGACGCCTCATGATGAAAGCCGAATCCCTTCGGAAGTTATGAGGCCGATGGCCCTTCTGACAACCAGAGTGACCATTTATTTAGGTACATGGAATGTTCGTACAATGTGGGACACCGGAAGAGCCTTCCAGATTGCTGCAGAAATGAGAAGATACAACCTAGAGGTACTTGGGATCAGTGAAACACATTGGACACGAGTTGGACAACAACGACTAACTACAGGAGAGCTTCTGTTATACTCCGGCCATGAAGAAGAAAATGCACCACATACACAAGGAGTTGCATTGACGCTGTCCAAACAAGCACAAAAGGAACTTATAGGATGGGAATCTCATGGAGCAAGGATCATCAAAGCCTCGTTTAAAACAAAGAAAGAGGGCATTTCAATGAACATCATCCAATGCTATGCACCTACCAACGACTACAATGAAGACGCGAAAGATCAATTCTACAATAGGCTGCAGTCAATCGTCGAGAACTGCCCAACAAAGGACCTGACCATTCTGATGGGAGATCTCAATGCCAAGGTTGGAACGGATAACACTGGATATGAAGACATCATGGGACGACACGGACTGGGAGGAAGGAACGAAAATGATGAGAGATTTGCAAACCTATGTGCCTTCAATAAACTGGTAATAGGTGGCACTATATTCCCATATAAGCGCATTCACTAAATCACATGGACTTCACCGGATCACACTACGCAAAACCAAATCAACCATATCTGCATCAACAAAATGTTCAGGATGACAATGGAGGACGTGAGAACTAAAAGAGGAGCTGATGTAACATTATATCATCACTTGCTCGTCGCCAAGATGAAATCGAAACTCAAGAAGCACTGGAAAATGAGGCGGACATCATCACAAATGTTCAATACGGCTTTCCTTCGAGATACTGACAAACTCAACGAATTCGAGATAGCCCTCAGCAACAAGTTCCAGGCCTTTCATGACCTACTCAATGGAGAGGTGGCTACTTTAGAGAGCAACTGGAAAGGGATCAAAGAGGCAAGCTGAATACACAGAAGTAAACAAACAAGTGAAGAGGAGCATCAGAACCGACAAACGTAAATATGTTGAAGATTTAGCAACGACGGCGGAAAAGGCTGCAAGAGAAGGAAACATGAGAGAACTGTATGACACGACAAAGAAACTCTCTGGAAATCGCCGCAAACCAGAAAGACCAGTGAAAAGCAAGGAATGCTAGGTAATCACCAACATTGAAGAACAACAAAACAGGTGGGTAGAACACTTAAAGAACTGTTGAATCGACCAGCTCCACTGAACCCACCCAACATCGAAGCAGCACCCACGGACCTCCCAATCAACGTTGGCCCACCAACAATTGAAGAAATCAGCATGGCCATCAGACAAATCAAGAGTGGCAAAGCAGCAGGACCGGACAACATCCCAGCGGAGGCACTAAAAGCAGACGTAGCGGCAACTGCACGGATACTCCACATTCTCTTCAATAAGATTTGGGATGGGGAACAAGTACCAACAGACTGGAAAGAAGGACTACTGATCAAAATACCGAAGAAAGGCGATCTCAGCAAGTGTGATAACTACAGGGGCATCACTCTTCTCTCAATACCGGGAAAAGTCTTCAACAGGGTATTGTTAAACAGGATGAAGGACTGCGTAGACGCCCAACTTCGTGACCAACAGGCAGGATTCCGTAAGGATAGATCGTGTACAGACCAAATCGCAACTCTACGGATCATTGTGGAACAATCAAATGAATGGAATTCATCACTCTACATCAACTTCATTGACTACGAAAAGGCATTTGGTAGCGTGGACAGAACAACCCTATGGAAAATTCATCGACACTACGGCGTGCCTCAGACTATAGTCAATATCATAAAGAACTCATATCATGGATTACACTGCAAAATCGTGCATGGAGGACAGTTGACAAAGTCGTTCGAAATAAAGACCGGTGTCAGGCAAGGTTGCTTACTCTCACCCTTTCTCTTTCTCCTGGTGATCGACTGCGTCATGAATACGTCAACATCTGAAGGGAATCACGGGATACAATGGACATCTAGGATGAAGTTGGATGATATAGACTTTGCAGATGATCTGGCTCTTCTATCGCACACGCAACAACAAATACAGGAGAAGACGAACAGTGTGGCAGCAGCCTCAGTAGCAGTAGGTCTCAATATACACAAAGGGAAAAGCAGGATTCTCCGATACAACACAGCATGCACCAATCCAATCACAATTGACGGAGAAGATTTGGAAGATGTAAAAACCTTTACATATCTGAGCAACATCATTGATGAACACGGTGGATCTAATGCAGATGTGAGGGCGCGGATCGGCAAGGCAAGATCAGCATATTTACAACTGAAGAACATCTGGAACTCAAAACAACTGTCAACCAACACCAAGGTCAGGATTTTCAATACAAATGTCAAGACAGTTCTACTGTATGGGGCAGAAACCTGGAGAACTACAAAAGCCATCATCCAGAAAATACAGGTGTTTATCAACAATTGTCTACGCAAAATACTTCGGATCCATTGGCCGGACACTATTAGCAACAACGTACTGTGGGAAAGAACAAACCAGATCCCAGTGGAGTAAGAAATCAGGAAGAAGCGCTGGAAGTGGATAGGACACACATTGAGGAAAGCACCCAACTGCGTCACAAGACAAGCCCTCACATGTAATCCTCAACTCCAAAGGAAAGGAGGAAGATCAAAGAACACATTAGACCGGGAAATGGAAATAGACATGAGAGAAATGAACAAGAATTGGATGGAACTAGAAAAGAAGGCCCAGGACAGGGTGGATTGGAGAATGCTTGTCGGCGGCCTATGCTCCATTGGGAGTAACAGGCGTAAGTAAGTAAGTAAGTTTTAGGGAAATTATATATTCTGATCGAATCAAGATTAGTGCATAGAATAAAAACACATCGTTTAAAAGATTCATATTTGACAATGGGAATAATAAAACTAGGTAAAATCTATTATTGAAATCCTATTTCAGTTTCACTTTCAAATAAAATGTTTGGTTGGAAACTACTTTAAGTCATTAACTATTTTTTTCTAGAATACGATTACTAAGTATTTTATCCGAGTTGACCAAACTCGTCATTTTATCAGATAGTCGTTTTTATGGCATCTGAAACACCTCATCATTGGTCTCCCTTGATATCCAATCTATTAGACTTCCAAATATTTTCATCTTAGAGGATGGGGAAGATAGGAAGAAGTTACATCTCTATTATGAATTACTTCAAGATACTAATTCCGCATACAATTTTCATACTATTAATATATCATATCTAGTATAAGAATACACTTATATTGATGAGGATAATAATGAATAGTTATATTGTAGAATGATTTTATTCATCATTTATTTTATTTATTGGGAGACCAGTACAAAAACATTATCATAACTGAATCAATGTTAGTTTCATTCTGAATAGCAACACTGGATTTTGTTTTTATGATTTCAATTTTTCCATAATATTATCAATAAACACTGAATTCAGATTAGTGAATTATTCAATTTAATGATAATCAGATTAAATATCTTAAATGAAAAATAAAAGGTTCTCTTTCAAAATGCGATTATACACCTGTTTATTATCTTACTTACTTTTTAAATAAATAAATGTATATCTTCTGGTAAGACGAGGCGCCCATATATTAGAATCCATACATGCAAGCAAAGATATGTAAGCTGTATAACAGTTTATTTAACAAATATACCATTTGACGAAAAGATTGTTAGAGCTGACCTAATAGTCATTGACTTATACTCTTAGAGATGTTTCTAATAACAATGTTGTACAGAGTCAAATCTTCTGGGTAAAAAAAAATTTCATTACATTCCAGGTAGTTTATTTATTTAATGTATGTACATATGTATTCAGTTATAGGTGTTTTTTTCTTTTTTCTTGTATTATAAAAGAAACTTGTTGAAATACTTTGTGCTGAGAATTTTATATTGTACTAAACATATAATTCTGAATAAAGCCACTATTAATAAATGAACATTGAATAGTAATATCCAGATAAAGACACATGGAGCAAACGAATAAAGTTTGAAATAAAGTGTACATCATGGTAAAAATCAAATTTCAAAGTCAAAGAAATTAAAGATTGTGACTTTGATAATGGTTGATAGTTATTTCGAGTTCCATATGATGTTCAGCTGTATGAATGATGTTCTTACTTTGGCAATCCCTGCCTTTGCATCTGCATCGGATCCTCCTTGTTTATCGATGGTACGTGAAAATTTCCACCTCTTCCCTATCTTCCCCACCAAGTGTTATTCGGTCGGTGTTCTCCGTGTTGTATTTGAGAATGTTGCTTTTTCCCTTGTGTATGTTGAGTCCTACTGATACAAAGACTGCTGCTACACTAGTTGTCTTCATCTGTATTTGTTGACGTGTATGGGATGGAAGATACAGGTCATCTGTGAAGTTCAAATCTTCTTATTGATTCCGAGCTGTCCATTGTATTCTGTGCTTCCGTTCAGATGTCGAGGTCGTCATAATCCAATCAGCCACTAGTAGAAAGGAAAAGGGCGAGAGTGAACAGTCTTGTCTGACTTTGGTCCTTACTTGGAATGCGTTTATCAGCTGTCTTCCATATACGACTTTGTAGTGTGGTACGTCGTATGAATTTCGTGTGATGTCGACGATCTTCTCAGGTACATCATAGTTTCGAAGAAGTTTCTGTAAGGTTCTCTTATCCATACTGTCAAACACCTTCCCACAGTCAAGGAAGTTGATGTATGGTGGCTAGTCCCATTCAATTGATTGTCTAACGATGATCTGTAGTGTCGCGATTCGGTCTGTGCACGACCGGCCCTTACAGAATCTGGTTATTGATCTAGAAGTTGGGTGTCTACTGAATCTTTCATCAGTTTCAGCAACACTCTGTGGAAAACTTTCCTTGGCATCGATAGTAGTGCGATACCTCTGTAGCTGAGTTCTCACATTCGCTCAGATCTCCTTTCTTTGGTATTTTGATGAGGTATCTTTCTTTTCAATCTGTCAGTGGCATTTGCTCTTCCTCCAAAATCTTCCTGAATAGAGTGTGAATCATATTTGTGGTTACTTATATGTCTGACTTCAGAGCTTCAGCTGATATATTTCCAGGTCCTGCTGCTTTCCCACTCTTGATTTGTTTGATGATCTGATGGACATTTATGGGAAGGCCTGTATGTGCTGCTTCGATGTTCGGTGGATTTAATGAAGCTGGTCTATTCAAGAGTTCCTCGAAGCGTTCTAGCAATCTGTTCCTCTGTTCTCGAATCTCAGTGATTGTCTTGCCTTCTTTGTCCTTGACCGATCTCTCTGGTTTACTATATTTGTGTGCTAGTTTATTCATTGTGTCATATAGTTGTTTGATATTTCCTTCGATTGCAGCTGTTTCCAATGTCGTTCCTAGGTCTTTCACATATTTCTGCCTGTCAGCTCTGATGCTCATTTTCGCTCTCTCATTTGCTTCTGTGAATTCAGGTTGTGCCTTGACTTTCTCTGTTCATGTTCGACTGTGGTTAATCGCTGTCTTTTTGCTCTTACATTCTTAAATCTTACCCAGGGTTTCATAGAGCTCCATTCCTTATGATAATGATTCTTTCGGCCCAGAACCTCCTGACGTGTTAACGTTTGTGCTTTGTTGATCCCTTTGTAACTGTCCTCAATAATGGTTCATTCGTCTTTGAGTAGATCCTGTAAGACTTGGAACCTGATGTTGAGAATAATCTTGAATTCGCTGAGTTTGTTAGGACCTCGTAGGAAGACTGTGTTGAACCTTTGTAATGCTGTTTCCCCAGTTGTCCGTTGCTTCTTTAGCTCCAGTTTCATTTTGGCAACTACAACCAGGTGGTGATCTGAAGCTATGTCAGCTTCTCCCCTGGTTCTCACGTCTTCCGTTTCCCTTCTGAATTTTTACTGATGCAAATATCTTCGATCTGATTGTGTTCAGTGTGACCTGGGGAGACCCGTGTAGCTTTGTTTATGTGTTTGTGTGGAAATATTGCGGTGTTTATAAGCGATTTGTTGGATGCACATAAATTCGCAAATTTGTTACGGTTCTCGTTCCTTTCTCCCAACCAGTCCGTGTCGTCCCATGATATCTTGATACCCGGTGTTTTTCATTCCAACTTTGGCGTTTAGATCTCTCATCAGGATGGTCATATCGTTTCCTCAGCACTCCGTCATGATGGAATGCAGTCTCTCATGAAACTGATTTTTATCGTCGTCCTTGCTATCATTGTTACGTGCATAACACTGGGTAACGTTCATTATGATCCCTTCCTTATTTGTTTTGAAAGATGCTTTGATGATCCTGAGTCTATGAGATCCCCATTGTATAAATGCATTACTTGCTTCGTTGGATAACATCAGAGCAACTGCCTGAGTGTGTGGAGAATTTTCCTCCTCGTGACCAGAATACAGAAGCATCTCTATCATACCTAACCTTTGCTGTCCTGCTTGGGTCCAGTGGGTTTCACTTGGTTCCAAGAACCGCTACTTTGCATCTCCATATTTCCGTTGCTATTTGGCTAGTCCTCCCGGTCTCTCACATTGTCAGGATGTTTCATGTACCAATATTAACTGTTGTTGTGGTTGTTAGAAGGTCATCTTCCCCTTGACTTCTGAAGAATCTCGGCGTTTCACTATGAGGCGTCATAATTTTTGTAAATGAAGATCCTTCAATTCGTAGTTCAAAGTTTAGACAGTTTAATTTGTTTATTCTGTTTGGCGTCGTTTAGCAGGGTTGCTTTCTACGGGATGGGGTTACTGACCTGATGCCCAACCCTCCTCCTTTACTCACTTTTGGGACCGGCAGTAGCCTTAAAAGAGCGACAGATGGAGTTAGGTTAAATTTAATGAGATAGTTTAGATATAGCGTCAAGTTTTATTGCTTTTTCATTTTAGAGGTATTGAATTTAATTATAGCATGTAAAAACTGTCGATTTACAACCAATCCCTATCTAAAGCAAAATCACTTAAACAGTTTTTTTAAAGCTTACATTATGAATATTCTTCTAACCATGTGGAATTACATTATACTATATAAGAAAAATAAGTTCTTTTCATGTATCAAAAGAATTGTTGTTAGAAAATTGAAAATAAGAAAGAATCTTGAGTTTTAAAATACTAAAATAAGTCAATCTAATCTTATTAATGATTATCAAAGTGAATAGTATCTCATATTGATAATATTCATTTGATAGCCTTTTAATAAATAATGTTAAATTTAGTGTATAATAATGTTTCAGCCAACAAAACCTTCATTAGTTTAACAATTCTTGCATTGTTATTTCATTTATAGATGTAAAGGAAAAAAGTTATTATTTTCTTTTAAAAACTTCATCAAGTTAAATCCCTGGGTCATGTCGAACTATTTCTATGTAAACTAAATATTAATGAACAGTTGTTTCTTTATTGTCTTTTTTTCTCCAATTTCATCTTTGTTTCTTGTCAATTAAGTTTATGTTAAATTGATCATTTAATAATTTGATAATGATTGTTTATTTATAAATGTTTGAATCTATTCATTGTTAATGTTAAAGAGGGAATTTTGATCAGTATATATATATATATATATATATATATATATATATATATATATATATATATATATATATATATATTGGTTAACATTTCTACACACCAGCGCAGATTGTTTTGATTTTGTCATTAAGTCACAAGTATTTCAATGAGAAATGGATTAAGGTTAGCAGTGGAATCTATAATGTATGTTTTTATTGGATTTAGAATTCATCAGCTAGTTGTATCTGGACTGTTTACTTCGGGACTCGAACTCAGTATCTTTTATTTTAAAAGTTCAACGTGTTATCCACTAGGTCACTCAGTCTGGATAGTTACTAATTTACATTGTGAGGATGAATTTTACTGCTTATTCATGATAACAATTATTTTGTTAAACTTATTTGTTTTTATCTAAAATAACTCAATTGTTTACATATACAATAAATGTAAATAACAAAATATGTTATCATTAATGTTTACTGTTATTATTATAGAGGGATGAAGTTGAATGAAGATGAACAAGTTGCAGTTGTCACATTAACTACATCATCATCAGCATCATTGAAAAGAAATATTGGCAAAATGTCTAATACAAACAGAAAAATGTGTTGTACATAATCTATGAGCGTTTACATACACAAATATTCACATATTGTAATATTTATTCAGTTGTATATTTCAATGAATAACAAAAAAAACAAACCCCACAGAATTCCAATGACATTGATGAGAAAGAGAAAATGGGGTTGGTGTTGATGATTATAACAATTAATAATAATAATAATAATAATAATAATAATAATAAAAAACTAGAATTACCTAAGAGTAACCAGAATTTATTAGATACAAAGTTATTTGTCTACTTCTCATATGATTGGCTGAACTATGTAATTAAATTAACAAATTAATTTCTGATTCTCCTTATATCTATCGCGTATACGCCCTTATACAAATAAATGAAACAACAAGGATACTCATTAAAACTAATGTGCCTAATGTGAATCATTTTCTTATGCTTATTTCATGCATCATTGTGTTCTCTGTCCATTCATCAATAAACAGTATGGTATTACATTGGTCTCAAGTTTTGATTATCTGCTATTTCCTATTTGGAAACTGTATTTTTTTAACACACACACGTACACAAAATGTGTCATCATAGATTGAGTTTATAAAAGACAATACATAGGCAGTAATAATATCAATATCCACATAATTGATTTTTATCCTAAATGAGAACAATCAATTGAATTTCATTGTTTCTTCCTATATTTATTTTGTTATGATTATGACAAATTATATTGATCTTTTTAATGTTTCCGTGACCCGACAACATTAAATCTGGAACTTATCTTCATTTTTCATTTAAACGACACATCTATTATTTTATTTATTGTTATGGTTATTGTTGGAATTACAAGTCTAATGTAAATGAGACAAATTCACGACAGTTGCTTAGTTACTCTGATGTATTTATGAATTCATGGGAGAAGTAGAAAATGCTTGCTCTAAATATTTCATAATAAATACACTTTCTGAGTTTAAGTTGTAAGCAATTAGTACAATACAGTGACAACTAAATATTATTTGGATTATCATACGGTAAAAACAGTAGCTGAAATAAGTGTAGCGATATTTACATTCTTGTTACACGGTAACTATACAATATCAGGATATTTGTTAGAGATTTGATTATATTACAGGATGAGCCTCATGAATTGGAAGAAATGTGGTATCATGACAATTCTAATTTCTTGAATCTACACAGTGCTCAGATAATGTTAACATCTATGTAAAAGATAAGCACCACTAACATGAAGCATTTAGAATATAACTATCATTAGTTTAGTCCATTCTCTGGTTAATAAGCAATCAGAACACAATTATAATGGTTCATAACAGTGAAAATTACCTGTCGCAGTTTCAGTTTTATATCAGAAAGGATGTGATGAATTAAAGCATAACACTAATCATAACATTCAGTCAAGTAGTCATGAGTTTTAAAATGATCTGTTACTGATCCAGCCTCACACTGTAGAAACATGTTTGCCTACAACTTTTGGGAAGGATATATTTGAATAAGTTCAATAGAGTGATAAATTATCATCGGTGAGATTGTGCTAAAATTATGGTGGAAATAAGCATAAAATCATGCATTCCTAACCCTGCTTATTATCGAGTCCAGGAACTTCAGGGTTTTTTACAGTACTGTCTAAGCCTTAAATCACCGAGTCGGGAAATAGTGGTTTACATCCCTAACTTTAACCAACCCACAATACTGTGCAACTAGTTTTCATTGTCTTTAGTGAGTAGCTACCTCATATCTAACACGTTTGAGCTCCATTGTTCACGAGTTCTCAATAAGACATTTGGCGTTACCTCATGAAATTAGTTACCAATGCGTACATTGTATATTAGTCAATTCGGTAAGAACGAAATTCTTGAAACTGAAGAATAGTTAGCTATACTAAAAAATAATTGATGGACTAACTGAGCGGTTCAAAGTTTATGAACACTAAGTCATTATTATTAAAGTGGTATGATAAACAAAAAAATTTGAAGTGTAAGCTGTGATTCACCTGTTCAAAGTGTGGAGAAGAGTATATGAGTACATTTGTCAATCTATCTCCAGTGTAATGCAAAATATTAAGAGATTACAGCAAACTTATAATATGCTGACTACAATAAATAGGTTTAGTTGTAATGAAAAAAATCAATGGACAATAATTAATGATTTGGAATATGATAAAAACTGGAAAAAGAAGAGTCTTCAAATGAAATCAAAAGAATTTCCAGTCTGTAATGCCTAGACAGTCAGTAACAAAATGTAAAATATCATTTACTCTGCTAGTGAAAATAAGTGAGACAAACGAAGCATAAATCATAAAAGAGTTGACTTAATGTGGTTTTCTTAAAGTTCAACTATCCACATAAATATAATAATGGTGATAATATGAAATCAGTATTTATGTTATGTGGAACTGCCAATTAGATGAATATGTCTGTTTTGTAACCATGGTGAAAGTATGAATCGAACAAGCACTTGAATGTGATACATTTAGTTATACAATCTGTTTTCATTTTTTCTGTTTGATGTGAACAATTCGTGATAATTGGTTTGAGATATTAGAGATGATCTCGAGAAATTAAAAAAAAGAAACTGAGATGAATAATTACTGTGATAATCTAACAGTAGTTTTTCTTAATTAGATAAAGATTATTTTGAATTTTTCAAAGACTTCGATGATTCCAGAAACTCTTGATGATTGAACAAAATATTTTGTAGGGAAAATGATTAAGTCTGTTTAATTTAATAACTAAATATAGTTTATCTCATGTATACTCTTTATATAGTCAAGTCGAATTACAGTATCAGAATGAAGTATCAGAACATTGGAATATTCAATGTATACATTCATATGTATTGACTATACAAGGATTTATGTTGTAATCTAATCATGGCACTAATATCTGATCTAACTTCACAGTATATTATATTTAATGTTAATTGGTTAATGTAGAATTAATTTGTATCTGCAGATTAAGGGAAATAATATCTTGAAATAGTTAAGGTAATTATAAAGATACAAGGGCAGAAAACATACTTAAAACAACTATGTAATCATGTGAAGTAAAACAGTAAATAGGTGCCATTAATAATAATAGTAATTATAATATTATTATTGTTATTACACACAGAAAGGAAGGATTAAGAAAACGTTTCAACACATGTTATCATATAATCCGGAGACTAGAAATTACGAATGTTCATAACAGGAATCTGTTTTTGAGAATGTATACTCTAAGGAAACTGAAGTTTCTTATATATTACTTACTTTGAATCCACTTGACACAAAAATACGATATCATATACCGGTAGAATAGTGAGTTATTGTCATTCTGTATGAAGTTCAACGCGTAAAGTTAGTTAGAAGTTAGAAGTATGTTTATTTATTAAGTGAATACGTTTACCTTCTCAAGAGTATTTGAAGTTAACAAGAACGAAAAGTATGTTCTTTGTAACCCTGTATAAAAATAAGATCTACGTTTAAATAATTTTCGAACACAATACTTAGGTGAAGTTCTCTTCATTCTGTTTTAAGATAGTACTTTTCGGTTTAGATTGATATCACGGATGGATCAATGTTAGACCACCTTTGAAACCTGAAGGCAATGGTCAGTGATTTTGTCCCTGTTGTGGGTCTCGTCAGCAGCGCGCATCTACGATCCTGCAAGAGGGACTCAAGCCCAGAACCTTCGGTCTAGCACGCGAACGCCTAGACTACTGAGCCGGCGTTCAACGGTGTCAATGTCTAACTTCAACCAATCCATGATACTGCTCGACTGTCCACTATTGTCTTCACTGAGTCCTTTTTAGTTGAACATTTTTCAAAGCAGTATTTTTCAAGAGTTTTCTTTAATCTTTCAATCAAATGATTTCTTACAAACTGATCTGTAATCAATTTTTAATGGCGGTTTGTTGTGTGATAAAAACCTTTTTTTTTAATTCAGTAAGCTCTAAACAAAAAATACATTCGAGCTGTTTTAACTCCATGTAATCTTCTGAATTTTGTAACTAAGTTTGGTAAATTTCACTTACTGTAAAATACATTAGTAACTTATATGAGTGCTCTAAAGTTTCAATCTAAAGTAACATATTCTGGGATAAGGCTTTTTTAAAGAAAAATAAAATTACTAGCTTTGTCTCAGAACTAGAAGAGTTATATCTAGTTAGATGTGATCTTTTAGAAACCGTAAACAAAGATCGTGCATAAATCCATCATCAGTATCAAGCCGTACATTTAACTATGATATTAGCTTTTTACTTAACTTTGAGATGAGTACAGGAGAGTATGATACGTAAACAAACAGATTTTTTAAGACTGCAAATACTTCGTAAAAATCTATGGATGATACAGAACACGATCTATTTAATTAATGATGTGGCCACATTCTGCAGTTTGAGCAATATATATGTACTTCTAGTAGCCTTGTATCGAATGGCACTTTGACGCTTAATCATAATTATCTATTTAAAGTTAAAAACTATCTCATTTACACTTTTATGAGAAGGTACGGATATACATGAATGTCTTCTCAGCGCTTTCTACTACTTTCCAGTTGTTATTCATACATTTCATGTCTACTTTCAATTCCCAACGCAGTGTGTTCTTTAGCCTTTCTCTTTTCCGTTTCCCTTCAAGATTCCACTTTAGCGCTCGCCTCGTGATGCATTTTGGTGATTTCCGTAATGTATGTTCTATCTACTCCCGACGTCTTTTCCTAACTCCCTCTTCATTTAGAGCCTGGTTTATTCTCTCCAACATTAGTTTGTTGCTGATAGTTTCCAGTCAACACAGGGCATCAAGTATCTTGAGTAGATAGTTGTTTATAAATACTTGTACATTTTTATGATGTTTGTGGTAGTTCTTGAAATTTCATCTCCATATAGTAGAAATGTCCTGACGTTCGTATTGGAGATTGTAACTTTGACATTGGTTGACAGTTTTTTGAGTTCCATGCGTTCAACAACTGAGTTCTCAATATTAGTAGTGTAGCAGAAATAGTAAATTAGAATTCTTTCGAGACAAAAACAGGCATACATTTACATATTATAATGAATCTGTCTTTTTTTTCAAAAGCATATTGATGCTTGTATTGATAAAAGTGATGTTAATGATGATAATAACTGTAATATAATCGATTCTACAGAGGGAAACTTGTTTAAGTATATATATATATATATATATATATATAACTTGAAAAAAACTGATTTTTCATTATACTTATTTTCAGGAGAATTCA